ATATTCATAAGTTTCGGAATTTTTGAGAACTTTTTTTATTCAAAATTTACATGAATGAAGTGATGTTGCCGATTTGTTACCACAGCAATAAATCGGTGAGTCTCCAATTAGTTGCCATTGACGATTGTTGCCTATTTCTCATGCTTTGCATGGTGGGTATGCTCACACGTTTGTTTAATGATTTGACAAATTATATTAATAATTGAAATTCACTGTTCACGATTTTCCACAAAATCACTATCGGTTATTACTGGCTTTTAAGTGCGCGAATTTTTCGGTGTTTATCGCGTTTTCACCAAAAATACATAAAATAATGTGCTTGAAACGACAACCACGTACCTTTGTAATTAGTTTTTGAACTTTTGGTGACTTGTGCTGTTTGCTGGACAGATTTGCGCCTTTATGTGTCGCTGTGTTGGTTTCTGGTGAGCTGGTGGTAATATGAGCGCTTTTGTGTTGTTGCCGCACCGTGTATCTCGGTCCTTTGGCTCCTTATTATTTCGTATGGACAGACGTCTGCTCGATCAAGTGTATTAATCTGGGGCGTTTTTGTCTGGGGCGTGCTTCCGTGACCTTTTAATATATATAAATGATGGTTACTTTTAATTCCGGCGTAGTTGGACCATGAACGATCGGTGAACCAATGGGTCGCAACTCCCGCAGTGGCACCAATGTCAATTGAAAAAAGAAAATGGAAAAAACACAACCAAGTGTATTAGTGTATCATGATTCAATAATGAAAGGTTTTGTAAGAAAAACTTTCTCTCGCTCTAATTTTATCAATGACACTCCCACCCTACTCCTAAAAACAATAACAGTGATATTTCTTTTCCAAATTTCTTGGAAGTTTTAAGAAAATTTTTAAATTGTTAGTAGTGAAATTTTTACTTTTTAAATTTGAAGAAATTTTTGTTCTTCATTCGCTGGCGCCAACAAGACAAAATGGGTGAGAATCGTTGGACTACAGAAATTCAATGTAGGCTAAAGAGACGAAATTCCCGTAAATGCCGAAATGTATTTGTCGATATTCGTGGAGACCTCTTGATTCTGCCAAGTCGCTGTAAAGTAAAGCGTGCAATGGTTTTGGTAAATGAGCCAACGAAGGTATTTAGCTATTGTCCTCCGCAACACAATCCTGGTATCTCCGAATGAGACTTTGACGCAATATAACATTGCCAAACCGCATCCATAGGCCCAATCGTCACACGACAGCTCGGTTTAGTCAATGGCGCGATGTAATTGCACACTTAGAAGGTGTACGCACGAGGCCAATGTTGGCTGGCTACCAACTTTGTTGAAAGCGATTAGTTGAAAGGCCGTTCAACCAAAAGTAGAATGCAAAGTTGAACAATGCAAACGCCTTTTTATGGCGAATATTTTGATATTTTTTTATCGCCTCGTGCGAAAGCCCCATTACGCCACTTCTCCTTTGACGATGTAGATCACGTTCCCTATCTCAGACGTTCAGTAGCTGCGTGTTCTTTTAATTCTTCCTGAGTATATACATAGAAATATTTATTTTTAATAATAATCGGGGGTTATATTCGATGTAAATAAGCTTGTTTAAATTAAATAATTAAATCAAATTCGTTTTTGTTTTAAAATACCACCATTTACTATTATCCACACCTTTTTATGGAATTTAGCTCCCATTTTAGGAAGTGTGATTGAATTCTTCCCCTTTTTCTCCTGCTTCCATAAACCATCCCTGTGGGTGGGAGTGCCAAATTTTATAAAAAAGCTACTTACAAAACCTTTAATAATTGAATCATGTTAGTGTATAATAGCTTGAATTTCAAGTGGCTTTATTATCAAATAAATCAGTGGGTGTACAATATGATTACCTTTTAAAATGTATCGCTGGGTGATGGCTGAAGTCGTCCGGTCTCCTTGATAGCTCGAATGAAGTGAAAAGGTCCCGCTTTGACAAAGTTAAGTTTACCCGCCGGCAGCCAACTGCTCGGAGGGGAAACTTAACGAAAGTATGTTACAACGGGAAATAATACATTTATTGCTAACGGCGTAGCAATAAAGGTAGGCCGTATATATGCCTGAGTGTGTTTGTGTGGTCGGCTCAAGTCAATGCACTTTTACATTAGGGTGGTTCGACCTGTAAATCATTTGGTTTTGCATGAAGGCCTAAACAATATGTAAAAAGTGTAGTAGGTCAGCCTTTGGCTGTTTTCCAAAACGAGTCAGTTCAACAAGTTGTAAATTGGAATTTCATGGTTGTGCGCTTAAAAACTGATATGTTTTGGAAAACAGTCTTTCTTACGATTATGCGATACCTTTTTATGTGCATATATTTTCAAATTTAGGACTGGTGAATGCGGTCATTCTGGAAGCCATAGTTTACAAAGTGTAGTGCATAGTTCAACAACAGTGATTGGGTTTGCTACTTCATAGCAGCAGTGGAAATGGAAACATTGCTCTGCTATTGCTACTTCTCTACTTGAATGGATAAGAAGCACGGCCAGAATCGGAAAACACACGAGGACCTTTCTTGTTTTACTTGGTTCTATGTTTCGTTGAGGCACAGATCAGGTAGGAGAACTAAAATATGAACGAAGTGATATTTGTAGTCAGAGTAATAGCACATACAACAATATTATGATAGCCTCAACGAAACATAGCACTAATTAAAACAAGAAAGGCCTTCTTGTGTTTCCCGATTCTGACACTGCTTCTCATCTATTCAAGTAGAGAAGTTGCAATAGCTGATCCACGTTTCCGTGCCACTGCTGCTATGAAGTAGTGAACTCAACCACTGGTAGTTGTCATAATTCGCAGTAGTAACAGTTTAACATGAAGGTAGAATTTTTATTTTTGGATTCCTGATACGAATAAGTTTATTTTAGTTCCGATTCTGCATAATCTTTTTTTTTTCCTTCTCTTGAAGCAATGGATTTGTCACCACTGTTCCTGGGAGATACCGAAGCGCTCTCTCCACCACGCACGAGCAACACAGGTATTTCGAAAATATACATACAGCTACTCACACTTAAAGTGGGACACTGCACTAAAATACTAGTTTTGTATCCTTCGCATTAAATACACATTGTAAATATTGGAGAAATTGCCAGAATTGCCTTTTATTTTACTTCACTAGAATAAGGTTTTACCGAAATTGTGTGTTTTCTTTTTTTCACAGTGTAAGTACAAAAACATTTGCATTTCTACATCTTCATCTAAGCTTCGAATGCTCACATTCAAAGTGGGACACGTGCATTTTTTTGAAGTACCGCTATCTTTGATGTTCGCGATCAGCAATTGCGAGCTAAAATCAGTGTTTTATGATATTTCATTGTGGTAAGATATTCATTTCTTCAAAATGTCACAAAAAGGTCAAACTACAATTGAAGAAAGACAAATTATTGTAAACAATTATAAAAACAACAAATCTATCCGAGAAATAGCAAAGATAGTTAATAAGAAGAAAAGTACAGTGTTTAATATTATAAAACGCTTTAAAGCCACTAATAGTGTTGAAAATAAAAAAAGAAATTGCGTGAACAGGCGCAAATTATCCGACCGGGATAAGCGATATTGTTTGAAACAAATTGAAAACGACCCGCTTTTATCAGCAGTTGACATCCAAAAAAGCTTAAAAGAGATAAAAAACGTAGAAGTAAGTGCTGAAACAGTCCGCCGAGTCTTAAGGAGCAACAATTTACACGGAAGAGCCTGCCGCCGAAAGCCTTTGATATCGGCGAAAAACCAACAGCTGAGATACGCCTTCGCTCAAAAGCATGCAAATAAGAATGCAACGTTCTGGTCAAAAGTAATTACTTTTGTTGTAAATTTTTCCAACTTTTTTCGATTCTTATAATATCTGCGTAGGTTCTTTTTACAGATGAAACGAAAATAAACCTCTTTGGGCCGGATGGAAAAAGATTTGCCTGGCGCAAGCCTCGTGCTGAATTTCAGGATAACGCCATTAAAAAAACCGTGAAGTATGGTGGTGGCTCCCTTATGATATGGGGGTGTATGTCAGAGTCTGGGGTTGGGAAAATACATTTTGTGAATGGAATTATGGATGCGAAGTATTACATTGACATTCTGAAAGAAAACGTGAAAGAAAGCGCCGAAAGACTTGGCATAAAAGACGACTTCGTATTCTACCAGGACAACGATCCCAAACATAAGTCCTGGAATGCACGAAATTGGCTACTCTATAACTGTCCAAAGGTAATGGAGACACCTCCTCAGTCTCCAGACTTAAATGTTATAGAACATATCTGGGCAGAGTTGAAAAAAAGGGTAGCCAAACGGAAGGCCAAAAGCATTGCCGCACTGAAGGATGCCGTAATAGAAGAGTGGTATAATATCGAACCTGAATTCTGTAAAAAGTTGGTGGAAAGTATACCGAGACGCCTTCAAGCTGTGATAGCGAGCAATGGAAAGTCAACGAAGTATTAATTACTTATTTTATAAAAAATACATGTATGGAAACTGTAGTGTCCCACTTTGAGTGTGAGCTTCGCCTTAAGCAGTTTGAATAACAAAAGACTAATTTTAAAAAGCTCTTATGGCATTTTTTGAATTTCTTTATTTTTTTTGTCTATATATTTCTCTAATAAATTGAATTATATTAAATGAAAATGCTTAAAATTAATCGACAATTTTTTTATGCCTTCTAAATATTCTACCATCAAATTTTTCTCTGTGTCCCACTTTGAGTGTGAGTAGCTGTACATATACATTTACAATATGTTTAATAGTTTTTAATCAAACATTCCTGCGCTTTCAGATGTAGCCCTACATAGAAAGCGCTTTCATGTGGCACTGCCTTACGAGGAGCGCTTTGTCTCCCAGCCAACAGTAACCACCAACACGGGTGTAGCCACTACAACAACAACAAGCAACACAGGTCAACAATTTACCTTGTCTCACCTGCTGGAGAGGCAAAAAGAAATGTTTGATGGCGTCATGGCCGCCATTGGAAGAGTTGAGTCAAAGGTGGACGGAATAGCAAATGCTCTGGCCGAAAAGGTTATATCAATGTACATATTTATGAATGCTAAAATTATTCTTTAATAATTTATTTATTTTTTTCAGATGCCCAAACGCGCGGAAGTTCAAGCTCAAGGGCAGCTACTGCGAGAGTGCAAAGTGGTGACCTCGAAAGTTCGCCAAAGTATTTCCCGAATCAGTAAAGAATTAGTAAAGAGCATACTTTGCTTCAAAGTATGCTTCCACTATCATCCCAGGAAAAGTTAAATACTTTGGAGAATCTTTTGGGAAACAAACCACACTCCGATGCGATGGTAATTTTTGCTAATTTGTTTTATTGTTTTTTATACACATATACAAATGTATGTATATATCATATTAGTTGTATATATGCATTTTATTTTACTCATATTAATTTTTATTCGTATATACATATGTATGCAATTTTTTTTTATTAAAATTTGGTTTATAGTATGTATAACAAAAATCGTAAAAACCAAAGTTCCAAACTTTGTACAAATAATAGGAAAATTCGATAAAATTTAATTTAATTTTCATGCACTTTTCCAGCTTTTTGATACGAATTTTAAAAAATGTTTTGAGTGTGCAATTCTGTAGCCCACTGATTTTTAGTATAATAATATGCAAGTTTGAAATTTTCACAAATGCGATTTTTTTGTGAACGGATTGGCTTACTTTCTCCCATACAAAAATAAACTCAATCACACAAAAGAAAATCTAAAAAATGCCGCAAATTTGTAGAAACTTTAAACTTAAATCTTATTATAATAAAATTCAGTGGACTATAAAATTCCATACTCGAAATATTTTTACAAATCGTATCAAAAAGCGGGAAATGGGCATGAAAATTTATGGAAATGGTTTGTATGATTTTTGTTGTACTATCTTTCAAGAACACGCAAAACAGCATATGTCAACAAAACATATTTTACCGTCAAAGAGAACTATATTATAATTAAAAAACAAAATACATATTTAGCTTGTTCCCGTACTCTAGGATTTGCAGGTTTTACAGGAACAGCTGTTTTTGCCTTTGATAAACCTTATGTGAACGTGGCGTATGGGAACTACTTTGGACTAAATCCTGCAAATCGTAGACGATCTGGAACGCTCTAATTATATAATTACTTTTTCGCTGTTCACAAACTTTTGAAAAATTTGTTTTCAACAACTAAATATTTTCTTTTAAATAACAGTTTTTGCTGTGACTTACCGCTCTGTAAACATATGATATTTTGCTTGTCTGTGAAAGATTTTGACGATTTTTAGTTAAAGATGCAGTTTTACTATTTTAAATAAGATCTTTCGATTGGTGTTAATTTATATTTCGTTTATGTAGTCATATATTATATTTTATTATTTACATTTATATTTATAATTGCATTTATGTACATATCTAGTATTTATAAATTTTATAATCTTTTCCAGCTGAACATAACTTTAAAATTGAAGGGTGCTAAGGGTTGTGTGAAACACGTGTTGAGAAGCATTTTTGCCGACACTCTACTCATTTCATACAATTATGAGTACAAAGCCAACAAAGCTCCACTTCTGGGGCTAAAAACAATAGAATTAGTTTTCGGTAAATATGTTTTAATTGTTTATTTGACTTATGTATTTCAGGAAGTAATGCATTTATATTTTTCCAACAGATGCGTTTGTGAGTATGCCCAAAATTGACCTCATTGCGGAAATCAGAAAGCACGTGTTCCTAAGCCACAATAGGTACAAACAAATTGTAATAAAAAAAATGAAACATAATAACAAATCTAACAATAATTAATTTAATTATCTTATTATTAATCTCTAAAAAAAAGTAACATAAAAATTTAATAACTTTCCAATCTAAATTTCAAAAACGTTATTTAAATACGGCTATTCGGGATTTTTTGTATATCGACTGCGGAGTGGAAGATCGACCTCGGCAGCCAGTTTGAAAATGCCCTATCTCAAAAAACTTTTCAAGAACGCCCTATTTCAGAATTTTATTAAAAAACGCTTCCGAGTTCGGTTCAAAAAGGCCCTATCTAACTTCAAAATGTATTGAAAATGTGCTGAGATAGGACGTTTTTGAAACGAATTCTAAAAAACGAATTGAAAAGTTTTTTGAGATAGGATGTTTTCGAGCTGGCTGCCGAGATAGGTCGATCTTCCACTTAGCAGTTGATATGCTCTTGCATTCTGTATTTGTGGTTTTTGGTAGGTAATGAAGTAAACTTTTATATTGTATTGCTGTAAGAAATTTCACTACTTTTTCTACCAAAAACCACAAATACACATGCAAGGGCATATACAAAACATCCCGACTACCTTTATTAATTTGTAAATAATTGTAAATAGTGTAAAAAGTAAATTTTAACAATAGTTTTTTTAATAATTTTATATTAAAATTTGCATACTGGAATTTTAACAACAAAAAACCTACCTTTCATAAACAAAAGAAAATTTGTAAATTGTATTTGTCAGCAGCTGCTTTCTAATTCATGTTAAATAAATTATATTATT